TAATTTTAAAAATATAAATTATAAAAAATTTTAATAAGCTAAGTATTTAAGTAGTCTTAAATAAAATTATTTATCATACTCTCAAGTATATATATTTAAATTTTATATTATTTAAATAAATATTTATGAAGAAAATTAAAATATCTGGCTTTTTTTGTTACATACTATAATTAATAAAGCTATTAATGAAAATATTATTAATAATTAAAAAATTAAAATACAAAGTATATTTTTGTTATAAAAACTTCTTGATTAATAAAGATAATATTATTTCTAGTGATCTGTATCTTATTTAGATATTAATATAAGATAAATTCTTTAAATTTAGTTTTAATATATAGAATTTTTTTATTTATCTTTTATTTCTTGAATAATAAGAATAATAAAGACTTATAGTATTTAAATATTAATATTTTTATATAAAAATTAATTTTAATTAATATTTTATATAATTTAATTATCAATTATTAATTTTATCTTATATATTATATCTAAAATAATTTTAATAATTTTAATTCTAATTAAATTAATTTTATATTAAAGATAAGTATAATAAAAATATTATTTTTTAAATAAAGCAATATTTTATATTATTATTTTTTTAGAAGTTTAATAACTAATTTAATTTGATTTTTTTTCATTTTTTATGTATTTGTACTGAAATTTATGTATTTGTACCGAAATTTATCTATTAGTAATATAATTATTTTTGAATAATATTATCTATTTTTATGTCAAGTTTATTTTATAAAAGTTATAATATTTGAAAAAGATTATTATATATATATTTTTTAAGTTTATTTATTACTTATATATCAATATATTCTGTATAATAATAGTAAATAAATTTAATTTTTACTTTTTTTCAGTATTGATAGCTAATTTTATTTAAATATTATAGTAAAATCATTATATTAAGAGTTGATCTTTTATTTTGTAATAGTTTTATTTTTTTTGAATTTTTTATTCTTTTAATAATTAAATACAATAATATTTAAATATAATAGTTGAATCTTTGAATAAATATATATAATTATCATTATAACTTTTAAATTTATAATTTTATTTATTAGTATATATTATATATTATATTTTATATTTTCAATATATTATTTATCTTATTTGAATTTAAATTCTGTTATTTTATAGATTAATTTAATTATTTCTGTTGCAATTTCTTTTGAAATTAATTTTTTATTATTTTTATAAATAAAAAATTGGTTTATATTAATAATATGTTTGATTTATTGATATTTTTGTTCTTTAATTTTTGTAAAATACTTTTAAAATCTTTTATTACAATTCATTTAGTATATTTATAAAGAGTGATAGCTTTACATTTTTTTAAATATTAATTATTTCTTTTAATACTGCATATTGAATAAGATTTGAATTTTTTACTATTATTATAAAAATTATCAGGTAATTTTTCTTATAGCCTTTATAATATTCTATTTGTTCTATTATCATTATTAAATAATGAAAAATATTTCATGTTTACATTTTACACATTTAGTTCTCACGATTTTTAATTATATATAAGTAATCATTAAATTATATTCCTTAAAAGTATGAACAACAAAGATTGTATTGTACTTTGAAATTATTAAGTTTCATTGAGTATTTAATTATATAAAAAGTAACAAAACTGATTTCATATTTAATTAATTCAAATTTTAGAATATTATTTATAATATAATAATAAATTTTAATCTGTAAATAATTATCAGACAGTTAATATAATCGATTTTTAATTGTTTTTAGCTCCTGGGCTGATAAAAGTCAAGTAATTAAAAGAAAGTTTAATTAGTTAATAAAGGAAACAAAAGATACAAGTCAATTAACAATAAGAATGCAATAACGTGGATGTAACAATAAGATCTCAATAACAAAGAAAAAGCATTTCTTAATAAAATAAAAAAGTAATATTATTGACTGAAAAGGAATAGTTTTCATCAAAATCCATCAATGAAGAAGCATAATTTCCACTTACTAACAAAGAAAATAAAGATAGTTCACTCATCAATGTGACAGTCATCCACTAATAAAAGCCACTCATCAATGAAAGAAAATGAAGACAATTCACCCACCAACGAAAGAAAGTGAGAAAAACTTTTCAAATAATGCCCAGTCAATATCATCTTATAACTCACCTTAATTATGACGTACCTACTTCGAAATCACAAAGATTCATCTGCCGTTGCCATTCCCATTCCAGCTTAATTGCAGTTAGGTAAGTTCCATTTAGTGGCTTAGTTGGGAAAACGTGGAAAGATAATACATGTATAATTTTAGATATGCATGTAAGTTGGATATGCCGCCGGAAAATCGTGCAAAAAAGGGTAGCTTATTTTCGATTTATAAGTTAGTAATTACAAATTTGGTTTAGTTGAAATTATAATAAAAACTTTGAAAACATTAACGTTAATCTGAAAAATATGTCAATATTTTAACAAATAACCGCAACGTATATCCTAAATCAATTTTGCTAAGGCAACCTCGTTAAACCGAATTTCGATAACTGAAACACTAATTAAAACCTTGATAAAACAGATTTGGTCCAGAAACAGTTATGTACATTATATGCTGGTAAAATGAATCATGCAAAGCTCACCACGCGAGAATAAAATTTATGCAACGCGAGAGTTTTTGTAATTAAGATAAGTAAATTAATATCTTTATATGCTGAGGCAAGTATGCCAATTATGCAAAAATATTCGTGCATAATTAAATCTCTCTTATGTTAACGTGCGCGCCGAAAACATTTGTAAGACATGTTAGCAACTTAAAAATTCTTGTGCTTAAAGTTTCTGATTTACTTATAAAGTACTTTATGTTTTCTCACATTGTGATACAAGGATGCGTTAAACCTTTATCAAAAATGGTCAACAGTAATAGAATGGGCGTTTGTCAAGTGATTTAACTTTAATAAGTTTCCTTTGTCCCGATGATCAAATAAATTTGCTTTGCCAGACAAAAGCAACAACTTTTAATTAATCATAGATGCAGATTAATTACGTAATTATTAAATATCGTGCAACTTTCTGTCTTTCTGTTTACCTGTTTTCCTTGTTATTACAGCAGGAACCATAAGTGAAACCAATCTTTTCTTTTAGCTTAATGTAGTAATTTTCTATTGCTCTTTATGCACCGAATCATTCTTTAAAATTGCTTTGCATTATTCATTAAAATTGTATTATTTCGTTGATTCTGGTGTTACTCTATTTGTGCTACAATAAACCAATAAAAAGTGACGGATTGTTCGTTAGATATTTCAAAAAAAAAATGCAAATTACACGAAACAACGGACCACTTAACGGAGTTGCAAAACTCTTTTTGGAAGCAATAAATCGCGGTACAAAATACACACAAATAGAACAAGATATTCGACAATACTTGAAAAGAAACAATCTGACACCTGAAGAATTTGTGAAGCAGCTAGAAAAAAAGGATTATCGTCGACATTTTAGATGCGTTCTCGGTTTTTGTTATGAACGAAACATTGGTGGTGCATATGATCCAGTGAAGGCGTTTCAACATTATAAATATGCTGCGGACAATAGTCACACGTATGGTTATTTGTTCGTGGGTATATGTTATGAAAACGGAATCGGGGTAGCAAAAAATTACGAAAAAGCATTCCAACAATATGAGGAATCGGAAAAATCGGCAAAAATTAATAATCCATGTGCGCAATACCGTCTAGCGAGATGCTATGAACGTGGAATCGGAACTCCAGTCGACCTGGCGAAATCTTTCGAATGGTTTTTGAAGTCGGCGGAATCTGGGAATCTAGGTGCACAAAATAATCTTGGATATTTATATTATCAAGGAAACGATGCCATCAAGATAAATTTAAAAGAATCTTATAATTGGTATTATAGAGCGGCAAAAGGTGGATTATCTTGTGCTCAATTCAATTTGGCTGAGTGTTTTCGAGTGGGACGTGGTATTGTGCAAGACACAAAACGAGCTTATTATTGGTATCAGAAAGCTGCTACGAATGGTGATCCAGGTGCTCAATATTGGCTGGCCAAATATTTAGAATCGGGAATTGCCGTAAAGAAAAACGAGAAATTGGCGTTAGAATGGTATATGAAAGCTGTAGCGAATAATTGCATCACAGATGAAGTTGTGAATGCTTACGTTGTTGTTGGAGATGCTTATGCCCATGGAAGATTGGGTGTTACAATGAACCAAAGAAAAGCATTTGGTTGGTTTAAGAAAGCTGCTGAAGAAGGAAATTCGGACGCTATGTTGAAATTAGCAGAGTTTTATGAACTGGGATTCGGAACTATGATAGACTTGGAAGAAGCTAAAAAATGGCGCAATGCCTCACGTGGCGTTGGAGAACATGATGATGATCAGATTTGTTCTTGAATTTTTTATAGCTGTTAGCATACATAACTTATAACGTCTTTATATAGTCTAAAAAATCTTACCGTAAAATACTCCTCCTACGTAAAGCAACTTCCAGAAGAGTTTTTTGTATTGGGTTCGGGTATTTGTAACATAATTTATGTATCTCTATAGTATTTATACTGTAATGTCAGTTTTATGTAAAATATCTGGGGGGAGGAGGAAGGTGTTTTAACGCAAGCGAGAGTGTATTTTATAATGGTTTATCATTTGCAAGAAATCATTTAAAAATATTTATTTTAGAGGGAGAAACTTGCTAATTTTCCATTCATTTTTACTTATTAAAAAAAAAACGAAAATAAAATTTTAATGTTCTCAAATGTACAGCTTCAAATTAAGCCATTCACTCACTCGTTTATTATTTTCCAGGAACTATACTATTATATATTAAAAGAACTAAATGATACACATGTGTACATATTTATATAAATTACAGCGTTTTTATTGATGAAAGAGAAACTGATAAGATTCTTCGATACTTTTTCTCTGCTTCATTTTCTTTTGTATCTGATATTAATTTGGCTAATTTATTTGCTTTTTCAAGATCAATTTCAGTACCAAGACCACGTCGATAACATTCAGATAATCGTCTAGTAGCTTCGATAATACCGACATCCGATGCTTTTTGGTACCATTCGAAAGCTTTTTTATCATCACGAACCACGCCAAGCTGACCGTAATCATAAATTAGAGCAAGACTATAATAAGTTTGGACAATTTCTTCCGTGATTTGAGTCGCTTCAGCCGCTTTCAAATACCATTTCAAAGCCAATTTATCGTTTTTATTTTTGTCTTCCTCATAATGTTGTGCTAACCAGTATTGAGCACTTGATTCGCCATTATTCGCAGCTGTTTGATACCAATGAAAAGCTTCTAGCTCGTTCTTTTTGACACCACATCCGAGACGAAGGAATTCGGCTACATTGAATTGGGCACAGGGAAGACCACCGTCCGCAGCTTTTTTATAGTTTTTGTAAGCTTCTGAGAAATCTTGTTTCACATATTTGCCTTTTTGGTACCAGCAACCGAGGCTATTTAGAGCGTCGAGATTACCGGCATTCGCGGCACGTGTGTAACAGTTGAAAGCAAACTCATGATTAACCGAGGTTCCTATACCACGTTCGTAACACCTAGCAAGGCGATATTGGCCGCACGGAAAAGGTCTGTTTCGGCTATATTCAACCGATTTTTGATAATTTTTGAAAGCTTTTTCAGAATCTATATGTACGCCGATACCATTTTCATAGCAAATGCCAACAAATAAATATCCATATGGACATTCCGTTTCCGCCGCGGCTTTATACTCTGCAAAGGCTTTTTTCGAATCGTGACATTCCAGGAATCGTTCGTATAAGAATCCGCTCAATACTTTAAATTGTTTGCGGTACTCACGACCTTTATAACCTTTTTGAAGACGTTCCACAATTTCGACGAGTGTAAGATTATGCCCTTTAATGAAGGTCAGGATAGATTGTTGTATTTGCGCAAATTTTACGCCTAGATCGAGTTGTTGTAAAAATAATTTGGCTAATCCGTTCAACGGACCCTCAGTTTGTGAAATTAAATAAGATTTGCGCGTGGTGGTGGTAGTGGTGGTGTTGGTGTTGGAAGTTTTTGAGGTGCGGATTTGCATTTTTGATAGGTAAGGGTTGAAAGTTACGATAAAATGAAACAAGAAAAATACGAGAAAAGATGTCAGTTTTAAAGTTATCGGGAAGTTATTATTAGCCAAAGGCGGAGAATTGTACAAATGTGGTGTATGGTTGTATTTAGTTTATAGCAGATAGCCCGGCTATCTATTTATAATGCAAAATGAGTGAATGGAAGATAATATTTGTGAGGAAAAACCTAAAAAACTAAAAAGGACAAATGGACGTTTTTATATACATGTGCAAAAATGTGAACTAATTAGAGTTTCATATAGATAATTAAATTAACAATGGAAAACTTTGCTTTGAATTCATTTTGTTTATGATTAATTTAAACATAGGATAATCGAGAATGCTAATTATACATGTAATTTATCTGTAAATGAGGAGATTGGTTTCATGTTTAGTGTGAATAAACAAAGTAAATACCGATACGCATGCAAAAACAAAGATTTATTTTGCATTATACGCATTATACATGTACATTAATTAGTTGATCTGAATAATCTAAATCCGATTATGGCCGAATCATCACGGGTAAACTTTGACCCGTACGTAATATTATTAAGTTTTTAAGTTAATATTATAAAAGTCAGACAATACCTACCTATTTCGAATATTCTTAGAATGTTGTTTTAAAGCTTAAGTGTTAACAATGACAATGTGTCCAAATATCGACATGTTGGCGCTAAAAAATGATTGGACAGGTCAAAAATAGAAATATTATGGATCCTCAAAGTGCATGCAGTCATGCATGTGTACATGTATGTATTTTAAAAAAAATGATCATGCTGCTGTTTCTAAATATACTCTTGTCAAGAACATTTAATCTGCCAGCAGTATTACGTAAAAAGAATTCCATGAAAAACCCAGAATTACAAGGCCGATACATGAAAAGAGAATTTTATCTTTTATTGGTAGCATGCATGCATGGGTCATGCGTCACGTCATTATTTGATCGCGGTAAGATTATGCAAGTTGTGATTTTGAACCGCCGAGAAAAACTTGGTTGAATCTATTGAAAGCATATAACTGGTTAAATCGTGATCAAAAACTGCGTTAGTTATCAGTTAACTAGTTTAACAGGTTAAATCTAATAATAACCATTGAGAAACCTCTCTATAGTCACAGTTTTTCATATCCCGAAGGCGTGATTATAATAAAGAGGTCACGCGGAGCTGTAATTTAGCTACGTACTTGCATACAAAATCTCTCAACCGGCCAACCAAACCATCCCAGCCTGACCCAAATCTGATTGTGAATAGTTGAACTATATGTATGCTGTGCCATGCTACAGTATTGGTAATTGTTTTGGATCATTGTTATCGTTATGTGTGTTATCCCAATCTTATACAGATCATCGATGAGCTAAAAATTTAAGCATAGTTTCGTGATAAATGCGTGTTGGACTACTATTCTGTAAAATGCTGCATACATGAATTTTTAACAATATCGATCGGTCTTTGATAATGTAAGATATATACAGTATTTAAAAAAAAGTAGTGAATAATGAAAAAGAATGAAAGGTAATTCTGTTCAAATATCCAACGGCGGCAAAGCTTTCATCTGAGAAATGCATTGGATTCAAAACTACATTAGAAACAATGACACCCACACCAACGAGGATTATTTGAATTCACTAACCTTGAACTTAAAATCAAAAATCGATGACCTTAAGTATAAAGCCGACCAAAACAGTAAATTGTTCGATGAAGTATTGGAATTCCTGTACAAGATAACCAGAGGCAGAGACGAATTCGTTTCTCGTTGGGAAGAACTTCGCACTCGATGGCACGATTTACTCAATGAAAATAAAAGAAATGCATTATCGTTATGTAAATTCATTTCAGTTTTAAAAAATGATATGCTCCCCTTTTTACTTGACTCAAATCATCCTGCTCGAAGTAAGCGGGAATACATTGAAACTACAATAATCCCGGTGAGTTTTTTTTATTCTTTTTATGCATGCAATATTCTACTCTATTCTAACTATATGATAAAAAATAATAATAGCAACTAGAAGACAATAGTAAAAAAGCAAGCCAAATCCAAACAAATTTTGATAGATTCAAAAATGAAGTCAACACATTCATGTGGGATTATCAGTTGGAATATTGTGATAACAAATCGCCATATCAAGAAGCACTTAATGAAAGAATTCGAAGGTTACAGGACGAAATTCAAAACAAAAAGAAGAAATCGTACATTCAAATAGCATTCGAAGTTGTTTTTACGGTGATATCCATTGTTGTCGTGCGTTATCTTAAATTCCGTCCGATAGCTCATCTAGCCAACCCAATTATTATGAACTATTGTTTCCAGGAAAAGGGTAAAAAGCATATTATTTTGCGTTATTCACCTACAAATTTAATGATTAAAAATTAAATCATAGAACCTGCCGAATTGGAAAATTTTCAAAGTGAAATCCTAAAGTCGGAGGACGAAATTAAGGAAATCAGAAATGGCATCAAATCTTTCGGTGACTTTTGGGCCTTCTCTAAACTACTTATGGAACATATGTCGGAAAGTATCAATGATTATCAAGATGACAATATTAAAGACGGTGAAATTCAAAGGATTAAAAATTCATTGGGTAATTTAGAGAGTGCTTTAAAAGCTTATGTTGAATAATATTGATTGTGCAGTTAGATCTTCTTTTAAATTACCGAAACATGTACTTGATAAGAAAATAAATAGTAATATCGTTGGCTAAATTATGATCATGCGTCTGAAAATATAACATTAACGTGGATAAAAAAGCTATGGCATTTTAAATGCATGTACATATATTAGCTGTGTAATGTTCCCATTACATGAACGTGTAGTCTCGTGATTTATATTATCAGAAATGGTACATGTAATAACCGTTTTCATATAATCAGCTATTAATCTCAACGTCTCTGGGTAAACTTCTAAGAAAGTTTCGAGCTTTTCCACCGAATGTATTAATCGAGATTGTTATTTGATTGATTAGCTCAAAAATATCGGCATCGACACACCTGATTGGACAATAACTTGCCGTTACTTTTATCTAAATGATGTTAATAATTTATATAAAAGTTAATGAAATAGATTCCGATACCGAGGAAATTGAAAAATACGCGATTTTGATTTTCTGCTTCAAATTCAACATGGAACTGTTTTTTATAATCGTTTAGAAATTTCACGAACCCATTTGCATATCGTTAATTACCTCTGTGTTATTTGTTCTTAACAATCTCGTAAAATAATTTCGAACAAAACTGTAAAAAAAAACTTGTAGGGACATCTATGTTCTCAACATAGCGTCATTTATCAGCATCTGTATATTTCGAGCTATCTAGAAGTTGAAGGACTACTTCACCTATAAAGGTTACGAATCTACTTAATTTACTTTGCGTTTTCATGACTGTTATGAAATAGTTCTCTTCATCGTTTTTCAAAATTTTCATGTTTTCTTTCTCTGTTCGCCGCGGCTAATAAATTATATGATGCTTTCTCGAACAATACATAGTTTCATTGTTTAATTCTAGCTTGATCGATTCTTTGACATATAATGCGTTATTGTCTTTGCTGAATTTGTTACCAATCAATTTTATAATTACCAAATTTATCAAATTTTCCACAGATTAGTATTACGTTTTAAAGTACAAATTTATGATGTCAAATTTTCTTTAATTCATAAAGATTTATCCGAACCAATAATTTACAGTTAGAAAAGAGATTAGGAAAAAGTTAATTTCTCATAAATGATATAAAAAATCTCGTAACTTTGTAAATATTGCAAGTAAGAATGACTGATATTAAAAGTTTTTGGCCAAATTAAAATGTTCGACCCGGGTATTTAAAACAATTTTAACTCAATTTATATATAAAAATGTATTATCAAAGCTTACCAATTGCATCGCTTTAAAAATCTTTGAATGTAATTAAAATAAGGCAACCCACCGAAATGTATTGTGAAAAGAATAAAAATTCAACTTTCCATACGATGATTACATACAATCTTTTGATTTGCACAGAAAGTTTCTAAATATCTCCCACTTATACGAAATTTAATATTCTCTTCGACATATAGGACTTTCTCGGATAATACATACAATTTCTGGTCCTAATCATGTTTTGATTCTTTGACATTTAGCAATGGTTGAAATTCTACGTCATCGTCAATGTTATGCAACTGTAGTCGATCAGCCGATAACGATTTATTACATGAGCATATCTATTTTACTTCTCTATTATTCATTTCGCTCCTATATCTATTAACGGAGGAAAGATATTAAATCGAAACATGTTACGTCTTATAAGTACAAGATAATTAATCATATTCAGATCCAGCCAAGTTCGTTTGATTTCCAGCGTCAGAAAAAAGACGGCCACTAGGTACAGATCATTAAGTACAGTCAAAACTGGTTTACAGTAACATGATCGGGACCATCACTTTTGGGTTATTATATCCAAACGTTATTCTATCAATATAATATCACTATATATAAATAGATTAAAAATGTTACTACACAGTGAACCTGGATATAACGAATTTCGACTATAATGAAATTTTTTCGATGTCCCAAAACCTTGTCTAATAAAGTTTCTCGGATATAACGAAGTTAATTAAGAAAACCTGGTTACCTGCTATAACGAAGTTTTAAATTAGTTGGCTAATAAGAATATAACGAAGTTTTCTTATAACAAACTTCACTATATTATAATAAAGTTTATCATATTATAATGAAGTTCACTATAATTTCGGCAATCTTTCCTATTAATGTAAATATGTATGTCAGTATGACATAATTCACTTAATGTTTCTCGTCATGATGGTTAGAGACGAAGTGACAAAACCTGCTAAGAACAAACGTCATGCACTTCATGGCATTGAAAAAAAAGAAATCTGTCAAATAAAAAAAGACAATCCCTCAATTAAAATAGCTGAATTAGCCAAACAGTTTGAATGTGCTATACAAACAATTAGTGAAAGTTTGTCAAATAGTGACTACTGGCTTAATATTGATGAAACCTCCACCACTGGTACATTTAAAAGAAGATGTCAAAGCAGTTTTCCTAATATAGAGGAAGCATTGAGTCTTTAGATAGAAAATGCAGTAAGTAACAAAGTGACCTTAACTGATTCAATTTTGAGAGAAAAGGCTAGAAAATTTGCTATTTTGTTAATAATCATGAATTTGGTGCAACTAATAGATAGTTGGAAGGATTCAAAAAGAGAAATAATCTAAAATCTTACAAAAAGTGAGGGAAAGTGAGGAGCATTGATATGATCAAATTGCCCAAGCAATATGAATATTTGAAATTGATTCTAGAAGATTATAATAAGTGTGACATTTTTAATTGTGATGTGATGAAACAGCTCTGTTTTGGAAAATAGAACCTCAAACAATACTTGTTCACACATCAGTTTCAGGAAAGAAATTATTAAAGGATTATGTATTTATATTTGCAACTTATAATATGATAAGAAAAGAAAAGCTATCTTTATTATTTATAAATAACTCAAATAATTCTCAATCATTATGTGAAATTGATAAAACTATACTTGGTATATGATATTATTATAATAATTCTGTCTGAATATAATGCTTTATATTTGAAAGTTATCTTAGAAAGATTAATATATTTCACTTAAAAAACTGCAAAATTATTTTGCTAGTCAATAATATCTCTAGTCACAAAGTTAATAATCTTGAATTATCTAATATCAAACTTTATTTTTACTCTCAAATATATTAATCTAGCTTTAACTACTCAATCAAGAAATTATTTATAGTCTCAAGATCTGTAAAATATTATTTTTAATTATAAGTTTTATTTCTTACTTAATTTACTTATTATTATTTAGATATATTATTAATAAGTATTATATTTATATCTTATTTATCTTTATAATAAATAATTATATGCTATAGAAGAAATTGAAATGATTAAAAGAAAAATAGCAGATCTCATTTAGTATTTATCAATAAATAAATCAATTGATATAGAAGAATATATAAAATATAGAAAATAAATTGATAAGTAAAAAATAATCAAGAAATTCATATTAAAATTATTAAACTCTTTGAAATTATTAATAAAATATCTTTTATTATCTATAAATTATAATTATTAATTAATATAAATTTATATTTAATATTTTATATTCTATTATTACCATAATAGTATAAAAATCCCTAATTCCTTAATCTTTTCGTGGTTATGAAAAATCGCATTTTCTTATAACTTTTACATTTTATAATTATCCTTATATTTTTACGTTATATAACTATCCTGTATTACTATATTTATTATCACATTTCTATATTTAGATATTGTCTTGTTTTTAGTTAGGATCTGCATTTTTATTATTTTGTATTACGATATTTATGTAGTAGAATTGTGTAGTGAAAAACTATTTTTAATTTTGGTAGAACAGTTACATTTGGATGATAATCTCAAACGTCTTTCCATGTTCTTTGACGTTCTTTGATATTCTCTCACGTTCTTTCATGTCTTTTCACATCTTTCAACATCTTCTCACGTCTTTTCATGTCTTTTTATATTCTTTCACGTACTCTGACATTCTTCAACATTCTTTAATGTCTTTCAACGTACTTTGATGTAATCTACTTATATTATAGTACTTTAATTATATCTTGTATATTAGATAGTATTAGTTAGTAATACTATAATAA